CTCTGCCGTACGATTTAAGTCCTAAACTCGTTCTAGGTTCCGAGGTTGTCGTCCGATACGACGTAAACCCTCATATCTTCTAGGCAATTTGTGTGACACTGTCACGCAAATATAAGCCCTAATTAAATAAAATTGGCAGGATGAAACACTTTAATATTTTCTTCCTTAAATTGGAGCCAAACCATAGGATAGACTGGGAACCTACTGAGGTTCGCCTCATGATCTGTGGCTTCCCCTAGTTTATCTTCATTTGGATTCCTTAACAATGTTCCAGATTTGAGTCTTTCTCCTTTCACACCTTCTTAGTCCGATTTCGTTGTAAAGTCCTATTATTTTGACCTCTTTGAAGACATTATCCCCTGATTTTTATCGAGAGTTTTCTTAGGTGACTTCGGTCATTTAAGATGTAATTAACTATAGGGGCTTGCCCTTATAGGAAGCTTTTCCGAACCCAGTTTAAAATAAACCCTATTTAATTATTTGTATTAAATAGGGGAACTTGTCGGCAAATAAAATGGTTTCGCAGACCCTAACGGATGTCATATCTTTCTTAGTTTATTTGATCGAGCCTCATCCTCAAATCTTGTGTTTATCCCTCGGGGTAGATATAGAATTTGAGGTAGAGTTCTCTTTCATTTAAACTGTGAAAAATATGAGGTCAGTTTGATTTCATATTTTTCTAAAATTATATATATATACGTAAATTAAAAGGTCCTTCCGAAGCGGGCGACGGGATTTCGATTCTGGCGACCGACAGCTTCTTACGGGCGACCCCCAAACATTCAAACTCTTCCCCCCCTTTAAAGCGCCGACAATACCAAGACTAAAATAGAATCTTGTCATATAAATAGAGGTACAAGATATCAAATGAAATACACACAAAAGTTCAAATCATTTTTTTTTTCTCTTCACATCTCCATGCTTGCATGTGTGTCTTTGTGGACATTGATTAAAGTGAAAAACATAAATCAATGTGATTTTAGAAATGAGCCTACAACTTACTTGGTTGCTTCTAAACCGAAGACAAATTTTAGATAATAATAATTCTCTTTGTTGTATTTTGATGTGAAAACAAAAAATATCATATTTAAAAAATATCATATTTAAGTTGTTGAGATTAAAATTTTTATTAAATTCGTTGTACATCTAACAAAATGATGGTATTTAGTAAATTTAAGTTATCTAATTATTTGCCTTGAGAATATGTTGTCATAGTTTGTTTTTTTCAAGAATTATTATGTTTTTGATTGGGAGCGCATAAATGAGGATGAGAAGGTTACCAATGGTTGGTTTGAAGAGTGTTTGATTCATGTAATCTTCTCATTATATTGTAGAGATTGTTGTGATTCAAATCTGCTCTCTCTAGATCATAATTAGGGTCCTACCTGCTTTGTAAAAGTAATTCATGTGGAGTTGTTCAATATCATTTACCATGCGATCTTACCATTGCATTGTAGAGTGCTTTTATGATTTCAACCCCTGATATATGGGCATAATGAATCCTGCCTAAGCACTGCTCTAGACTTGCTCATTCATGAAAATTTTGATTTTTTACTGTGTACTGGGTTCCTGACTCTGTCAGTACTTGGTCATTTCTAAGCTGATTGCTCAGCATGAATGTTATATGAACTTTGGAGATGACCCATGGTGGAAAGTAGGTTTTGTTGTGTGTCTAATGGACTGAATGATAGGAACATTAAATTTATGATTTTCCTAATAAAATAGATGCTGGCTTTGCTAAATATGTAGGAGCACATTGTACATCAACACATGTGGCTAAAACACAAGAAGCTCTTCTAGGATGCTAATGCAATCTTTCTCTAACTTTTAACGTGCTACTAAAAATAGATGGTTGATATCTGGTATCTGAATGATTGCAACGACATTTGTAAATATTCTTAGGACAAGTGCATGTCAGGAAAAAATAAAATGATAACCTGATCTGCATTTTGTTATTTCAACATATGACAGTCTTCCGCTTACTATAAAATGAATTTTTAACCCATAAGTTGTTGTGAAGATCATTTCATGAATCTTTTTTTTTAATTGATTTTGTTTTTATGGAACATGATACAATTAAAATTTGAATCTGATGTGCATTGTATTATTTAACAATTATACCTTCGAATTTTTTGCCAATTTAATTTGTATTGAAATTCATCTTTTGCAACTAAATTTATTTGGTTTGCTGCAGTTCCAATTTCACTTATCTCATCGTTTAAAAAGATGAAAAAGCTCACGCTCACCAAGGATCTTCCTCTTTCTTCCTCTTATAGAGGGTGCTCTGAGGACTTCTTCCCTACTTGTAAGATCATTCTTTGATTTTGATTAGCCATTTCATATTCAACTTTTTCTATGCCAGGTAGCACTCCTGTTTTTCTGCTCAAGTATTTACTATTTGCCGGCATCTTGATCAGGTTGTTAGCTCTGATGGAAAAAGGGTGAAACGGCTGCATCCACTTCCGATTGCCAAACTCGTGGATGAAAAGGTGCACTTTTCATCTCTATATTTATATAAAAAAAAGTGTTAGTGATTTTTGTTATCCATCATTTATAACTCAACTTCTGCACGTCTAGGCACGAACAGTTCTTGTTGAAAATTTACCGGAGGATTATTCTGAAGATAGAATCCGGGAAATCTTTGCGATAGCCGGCCGGTATGTTCTGCATATCACTTGAACTTAAATATCATTGTTGAAGGGTTTAGATGGAAAAATAAACATTCTTAACTTGTTTTTTTTATTTGGGTGCTTAGTATTTTAGGGGTTACCATCCATAAACCGCAACAAATAGCAACTCTCAAGACGGCACATTTTGCAATCAGTAGTAAGGTGTCATTTAATTTTTAAATCATTTATTGTACCAAAGAACATGCTACAGAATCACTAGAGTGGATTTTCTTATTGCATGTTTTTTTCTTTTAATGTCTAGGATGGTTTCGTTGGAGATGATGTTATATGCTATTTTTTAAAATCGGATTGAACTAAAGTCTAGAAGAAGAAATTATTCAAAGTGCAGTGGTTTAATCAGGGTTGAAATGGATGACATAATAAATTTAATAATTATTTTCATATAACTTAAATGGTATAATAATGATACAATAATGATGTTTTAATATAGAATATTTTAAGTCATGTTGCTTCACTCTTCAATATTTTGAATATGATTGAATATGATTGGAAATCAAAATTTTGAAGCATGATATTTTTTAATTATTTAATATTTTTTTAATATAATATCTTATTGAAAAATTTACATATTGCCACACAATTAAGTATTTACATATCTAGTACTTAAGGTTCGATATTTATATTTATAACTCTTTTATGTTGTAAAATTATACATAACAATGTGTATTTAATTTTTGAAAAGTTAGTAATTATGATATTTCTGCTGTGATGTTTAAGATTTGAGTGGTATATATATATATATATATATATATATATA